TTTAAGTTCCACGATTCAACACCATAAAAATGGACAGAGAAGACGTAACATCGCAGTATACTTACTTTTGTATCAAGAGAGAGGTTGCAACTCTTGAAGAAGGCCCCCATCTGATTAGAGGTGGATCTAGCTTTGCCTATGCGTGCTCTAATCTCCTGATTGTTGGTCCATTCTTCATTTATTATGGTGCCAAGGTAGTTGTAGTGCGTCACTCTTTCTACAGGGGAATGGTTGACGTAGAGTTGACCAAAAGAACTTGTAGGTCTTCTAAGTTGTCCGCAAGTACTATGGTGTCATCTGCATATCTGATGTTTAGCCGGTAACCATTTAGTAGAATACCTTTTCAGTTACGTACAAAGCTTCGATAAATATTTTTTCAGAGTACAGATTGAAGATTCTCTTCTCTTCTTCTTTGACAACCATTTATTATCCACTCCTGAATGTAGGTCTCTCCCAATTGCTTCCATCTGTCATCGAGTGCCACCAATCACGCACCCTGATGTGCACCGCCCTTCCTTCTGGAACTTTTAATTAAATTTTATTGGAAGAGAGATAAAAAAGTTTCAAATAAAAGTTAAAATATCTTTAAATATGGGACATTTTCGGATCTCGAGTGAGTAGTCAGTCTGGTTTTACCCGTCTAGGGTAGCTCCTTAGAGCACTTTGCTCGAAGGGCTCTGCGAAAGTTTAAGACTCTGTGGCTGAGTTTTTTTTTAACTCAGAGTTATGTGTTTTATTTTTACCAGTAAATAAACATCAAACCTTGTCTTTTCAAGATAAGGCCTAAATTAGAGCGTATCGGACTAATATCGCAATATTGTGCAAGATTGCGCAATGTTAGATCATATTAGTAACTGTCGGAATTGCACCAAGTTGCAACATTTATTCCGATAGTTATTAGTTCCGAAGACGACACACCTATCTTGCACCAATCTAATCCACTGTTTGCCTGTCAGTGCTCTTATGTCATCTATCCATCTCTTTTGAGGTCTTCCCATGCTTCTTGTTGTCGTCCTTGGTCTCCATTCTAGAATTCTCCGTTTCCACCTGTTGTCAATATATCGGGCTACATGACCTGTCCAGCGCCATTTCATTTTTGTAGTTTCTTCCACAATATCCCTAATCTTCGTTCTACGTTTTATCTCTGTGTTTCTAATCTTGTCTCTTAGTGATATTCCAAGCATGATTCGTTCCATTGCTCTTTGCGTTGTTTCTAATTTTTTAGAAGATTTTTTGGTAAGAGCTACTGTCTCCAAACCGTAGGTACAAACTGGTAGTATGCATATGTTATACACCTTTCTCTATAAGTTTATAGGGTTGGAGGTGTTTTTCAAGATATGTGCTAGTTTGCCGAAAGCGCCCCATGCCAATTGTGTTCTTTTAATTTTAGCATCTTGATTTGGTTTTCGTAGTTTGATAACTTGAATGAAGATCTTGATTGAAGATTAGAGGAGACAAAATACAGCTTTACCTCACTCCACGTATGATTTTCACATAGTCAGTGTGTTACCTTTAACTCTGAGATTTGTAGTCTGATTCCAATAAATATTTCTAATTATTTTCAGATCTTGGTTGTTAATTCCTGCTTCTTGTAGTATTTGCATCATCTTGGCGTGCTGTACTCGATTAAATGCCTTCTCGTAATCAACCAGACATGCGTATACGTCACAGTTGACGTCTCTGCATCTCTGGAATAAGACTTGTACTGAGAACAAAGCCTCTCTAATACCAACAGCATTTGTGAACCCGAACTAATTGGGGGAAATTTGACTTCCATACGGCTTGTAGATTCCCGTATAAATTATCTTTAGAAACAATTTTAGGAGATGACTCATGAGGCTTATAGTACGGTAATCTTCGCATTTTTTGGCTCCTGGTGTTTTTGGAAGCGTAGGTTCCTCAGATTTCAGCCATTCTGTTGGTATTTCTCCAGAGTTGTGTATGTTGTTGAATATCTTTGCGATTATTGCTATTGATTCGTTGTCCATTAGTTTGAGTAGTTCTGCTTGTATATTATCAGGGCCTGTCGCTTTGCCATCCTTTAACTGTGTTATAGGTGGAATATATGGAATAAACTTCCTGCTGTAATATTCTTGGTCCATCATTTTCCTCTTCTTCTAGCTCAAAGGTGTTATCTCTTTGGTCTTCAAATAGTTTTTCAAAATATTCTTTCCACGTCTTTATTTTACTCTGTTTGTCCAAGATCATGTTTCCGTCAGAATCAGTTATGTTTCCTTTTCGCCTTCGTCTTAGTCCCTCTGTGGGTTCTTTAACTTTCCAATGTAAATTGTGACTATCATACTTTGACTGCAGAGTCTCAATTTCTTCGCATCTTTCCCTTGCTTCGTTTTCTTTTGCTTCTCTGATTTTCGTTCTTATTTATATATTTATGGTTTTATATTTGTCTGGATCATTTTTGGCTTCTCTTCTCTCGTCCGTTAGTTTCAGGATCTCATCTGTCATCCATGATTTTTTCTTTAATAATATATCTGTCTTTAAGTGTTTATCCTTTACATTTTGCACTATTTCTGTAATGTGTTTGATCGTTTGTTCTTCGTTAGATTCGTCTCTAATTGCAATCACTTGCTTGTTTAACGCGGCTTGGACTCTCATCCTCGTATCAAGGTCTTTCAGCATACGTAGGTCGTATGATTGATTGTGCTTTCCTTTTCTGCACTGTTTTGAGTTTGACTCTAAATACTACCAGTGTAACGTAGTCTGTCTCCAAGTATGCTCCAGGATCAGTCTTCACAGTATTAATTCTCTCGGGTCTGTCTTGAGAGGATTTTCACGTGTACCGTGATTTTTTGAATTTTACCGTTTTAGGATAAGGGGGGTTTGAAAACGAAATAAAACACACTATGTGAGAGATCACAAGTTGCTCTTCGACTAATAGAAACATGGTGCAAGGAACACTCACTATCTATAAATCCTAAGAAAACAGAGATGGTCCTCTTTACCAAGAAAAGAAGAATCACGGGCTTAATACCCCCAAGGATTCTAAACTACAGTCTAAATTTTTCTGACAAGGTGAAGTACCTTGGTATTACCCTTGACAGGAAGTTAACATGGAACTCACACCTAGATGGTAGAGCTAAAAGAGCATATATTGCCTATGAACAGTGTCGACGAACGGTTGGACGCACCTGGGGCCTCACGCCCAGGGTGATCGCCTGGGTCTACACTGCTGTCATTAGGCCAATGCTAACTTACGGAGCTATTGCTTGGGTACCAAAAGTGCTACAGGCAACAGCGATTAAAAAACTAAACCATATTCAGCGGATGGCTTGCATAAATATAACAGGTGCCATGAAAACAACACCAACTGCTGCAATGGAGTTGATCATTGGCATCGCGCCTCTAGACATATATGTCAAAGAGGTGACTGTAGTGACAATGATGCGACTGCGCTCAGCTGGTGCAAACCTTGATGTAGGAATGGGACAATTGAGAACTCGTTTCTGGCGGGGAGAGCTGGATGCGTTACCAGTACTACAGGCAGGCTGCGACTCAATTGAACCAAAGTTCGTCTTTAACAAACCCTACAAAATTGAAACAAGACAGTATATGGAGACAAACGTGGCAAATGCCTATTGGATATACACCGATGGCTCCAAAATGAAAGAAGGCTCAGGATGCGGGATATACTCCTTATCACTGAACCTAAGAATAAAGTGGGGTATGGGCAAAAATGCCAGTGTAGTTTAGACAGAACTAACTGGTATTTCCATAGCCGCAAAAGACATAACCCAAAAACGTATAGCAGGGAAAACTATAATGATCTGCACAGATAGCAGACAAGGGCTACTAACCTTGAATAGACCACGTGTCACATCAGGCTTAGTAATGGAGTGTCACGAGTCACTAACTCAAGCTTCGGATGGTAATACCATCATCCTGAAGTGGGTTAAAGGATACAATACGAATAAAGGCAACCGCATTGCTGACCAATTATCTAGGAAGGCGGCAGGCCTAAGACTCTTAGGACCTGGGGATCTTTCTGGTTGGTCAACTACAACAATCGCGGAAATTGTCAAATGTTACTCCCATACGCAAACCGTAAAAAGATGGGAAGAAGGGAAAGGATGTAAACTTGCCAGGGTAACACTAAGTAACCTTGAAGAGTCAACATCAAAGAAGTACTTGGGAATGACCAGGAAAAATCTACGTTTGGCAGTTGGTTTTTTAACTGGTCATTGTCAACTAAGCAAACACCTACACACACTGGGGCTAGTATACACACCTCTATGTAGGAAGTGTGAGCGAGAAGACGAAACTGTAGAGCATGTCCTATGTGAATGCCCAGAGTTATCGTCAATACGAGAGTACGCGTTCGTCGAGTCCTGGCCTACACCTGCCCACATAAGTGAGATGTCTCCTGGTGACTTGTCCACCTTCCTAGAAATGGCAGGATGGACAATGAGCTAAGGGTGACAGCTCCCTGGGACGATGCACAATGGGTCAATTGTGACCTAAGTGCTGTGAAACTTAACTCGCCCTCCCTACTCTACAGATACAGATAGTTTCAGGATCTCATCTGTCATCCATGATTTTTTCTTTAATAATCTATCTGTCTCTAAGTGTTTATCCTTTACATTTTGCACTATTTCTGTAATATGTTTGATCGTTTGTTCTTCGTTCGATTCGTGTCTAATTGCAATCACTTGCTCGTTTAACGCGGCTTGGACTCTCATCCTCGTATCAAGGTCTTTCAGCATACGTAGGTCGTATGATTGATTGTGCTTTCCTTTTCTGCACTGTTTTGAGTTTGACTCTAAATGCTACCAGTGGAACGTAGTCTGTCTCCAAGTATGCTCCAGGATCAGTCTTTACAGTATTAATTCTCTCGGGTCTGTCTTGAGAGGATTTTCACGTGTACCGTGATTTTTTGAATGTTACCGTTTTAGGACAAGGGGGGTTTGAAAACGAAATAAAACACATAAAGTACAAACATTCAATATTATATTTTGATTAAACGTTTAACATAAATATTTAACTTTCAAGGTTCGTTTCGAGTATTTTTTTGGTATTAACTTAGCTGGTATAAATAATTTCAAACAGTATTTAGAAAAACTTATAAAAAATTGTCAGTTCTTTGAGAGTCTGCAACATTGTAAAAAAATCAGTCGCATATTGTTAGAGAAATTTGTGCGTATGTGCGTATAAAATATAAATGATTTTTGTCAAATTCTCTGATTATTCAGTCATTCGTTACTGGAATATGGTCCCGCTTGTCGTAGAGCTAAAGCGATACCGCTCTTAGAAGATAGTTCTCTTGCTTGAGATTTAGGCACACATTGTGGTAGAAATATCATCGCAGCTATAGCTCCTAAATGAAGACACCAATACATTCTATTATATAATACTATGGAAGACCAGAATTCTAAAGAAACAAAAGGAAACGTTAGATAAGCGAATACAAAATGAGTCACAGCAAAAGTTATAAGGTCATACAATAATTTTGCCTCTTTAGTAGTCATAAAGTAATTTCTGACATGGCGTCGTACAGTTCTGGCAGCAAACGTAAACACAGCGCCACTAAGGAATGTCAAGTAGTATCCAGGGTAGAACCCATGCCACACAGCCGATAATATATATGTTAAAACAGTAGAAAACTTTTTCGTTCTCTCATAAACAATCATTCTTAACCAAATATTTGTACCTTTATTCCAAGCCTCAATGCCCTGCCTAAGACTAGTAGCAAATTCAAACTGAAATATATCTACATTAGAAATCTTATCCCACATAACTGTACCATCTTCTGCGTAACCCGAGAAGCCTATACCACAATTGTTGCAGATAGCATCGGCTACAGTCCACGCGAAATAATACTTAAACCTAACTAAAGTTGTACTGACTGTCAAGTACCAAAATATATAACTTATACTCATACTTTCAACAAAATTTTGATCTTTCACCCGCGAAATCGGGAATCTCGGTAGGAACTTCAGGAAGATGTACGCGCAAAATAGGGCGATCACAACTTTTTTGATTATAGCTTTCACGGGACTAGGTTCTCGTATAACTTTCGAGTTTTCTACGCTGTTCTTGACCTTGACGTAATTGTTACCCTCTATAAAATCTATATAGTCGTTGTAAAAAATGATAGGTCCCGCCATTAAAGAGGGAAACAACAAAGAGTAACTAAAATATTCTAAGACGTTGGGTGTTTTGTAAACGGCGTGGTATTTCTGGTTGTGCGTCATTTCGTCTTGTTTTTTGGTAAGACCGTCGTGAAGACTAAAGGCTAAGGATATTACTTTCTGGGTAATAACCATCAACGGACCACTAATGTCTAAGCCGTATGAACCGTAATCGTAAATTTGACGATGTAGGTGGACGCAGGATAGGTAGATTAAGGCCACTGTAAGCACCATTCCATGCATTATGTGTGGATTTTGAGTAATCATTATCTGGAACAAAAGAAACAAAATGTTAGAAGAGATAGAAATGTATTAGTATCAATAAAAAATATCTTGGCATAGTGGGGAATATCCCACACGTGTTTTACTACTTAGGTTACATTTAATAATTAAAATATAAGTTTTTACAATTTCGTTTTAGCATCTCCCAAAAATAAAATTCTAGGGAGCTAAGTCGGGTGACCGAGAGGGCCATTTTATTGTACCGTTTGTACTAATGACAGATTCAGCAAAAATTAACGCTCAATAGTCCCTAACGGCTTTTGCATTATGCTCAGGACAGTCCTGCTGTTAAAACCAAATTTCGTTGAAGTTAATTTGAAGACGTTGAAGTGCAGAAATAATTTTGCTGTAATTGGATATATTTGACTGCGTTTAAATGACTGCAAAATTCCAGTCCAAACATTTAACTTTTGTTGATACTGCGTACGCACAGACATACTCAAATGCTTATTCTCCTGAGACCAATACCGTACAACGGATGGATTATGGTTCTTGTGAATTATGAAGGACATCTGTAAACAAAATATTTTACAAAAAATTATTATTTGCATCTTTGCATCATAATTTCACAAAATTGCATGGCGTCATGTTACCTAATCCATCGGTAACTCTATCATCTTAAATTATTATAACGTATTTTTAAAACTAAATGTAATTAAACATCTGGGTTTTTACCCATATATTTTATCTTGGTGGCCACATTCATGTACTCCTAGACACTGATGATGGAACATGGATTCCGACAACGTTATGTCTTTTTAACTAAGCCCGTTTGGGCCTTAAATATATACCTTTTACAAAGGATTTTTAATTAAATTTTTTAATACATGGTATACAGCCAACTACAGGAACGTAGATTCCTTGTGAATTTTCTTAATATATTTTTTTAACCTTCACTTTCATTTGACGCATCACACGGTCCAATTGGACCAATAACAACGGATATATGATGTAATGCTTTTATGGCAATACCGCCACGTGTGTGTTTTCTGTCTCAACGTATTCTCTACCCTCTCTCCTTTCCAGTCATGATCCCACTAACTATTCTATTTCAACCACAAAACGCTCAAAAGATATTTTGCTTAGTAAAAATCTTACCGCACAATTATAGTAACATATGTTTTAAACAATTTTGTGAATAAACTAATTATTGATAAAGTAGTAAAATATCCGAATAAGGATTATTGAATCACCAATTTGTAGAATGATAGTTTCGAATTCGAATAGATAAACCAACCGAATAGTTTTAAGAAATTAATATGATTGAAATGTCAGTTGGTAGTGCACATTTGTATCCAAGGTGGCACAATGAGTTATCGTACCAAACACACAATGTGAGTTGTTGTCCTAGCCTTTTATATAGATAGATTATTAATATTTTTTATAATACTACACATTTAGGTCCCTTAAAATTTTTAAAAATCTTAATTTTTTCTTTAAAAATTTTGTCAAATGGTTTTAGTAATTTTGTTAAATTATTTATTAAATTTGTTCAAAATTATTATCTTGTATTTATGTTTAATTACTACATTTTGAATATCATTATATTTTATTATAAAGTTTTTAAAAAATCAAAAAATGATATGATATACTTTGGGAGTGAAAACGTAGCTTTCTTATCGTTTACACATGGAGACTCCGATACAAGAGGGATAGAATGGACTTTAACCACACGCCTAAGCGATCTGGAATACGCCGACGATATCTGCCTGTTAGGACAAAGGTTCCAAGATGTGGCTGATCAATTGGAAACACTTTCCACTGAAGCCAATAAAGTGAGTTTGACATTAAATATTAGTAAAACCAAATCCATGAGAGTAAATGTAAGAAACAACACGCTATTTAGTATCAACAACATGCAGATTGAAAATGTGGAAAACTTTACGTATCTTGAAAGTGTCGTAACAGAAAGCGGAGGTACAGAGGAGGATATTCGTATGAGGATACGAAACGCTCAACAAGCATTCAGCATGCTCAACCATGTTTGAAGATCTGGCGAGTATACCACAAGGACAAAGATCCGGATATTCCAGTCAAATGTCAGATCTGTTCTACTCTACGGAAGTGAAACCTGGAAAGTGACAAAAACCCTTACAAATATGCTGCAGGTATTTATTAATAAATGTCTACGGCGAATTGTTCGTATTTTCTGGCCGAACATCGTCAGAAACAAAGATCTACTACCCCTGACCGAACAAAAAAGGGTAGAACATCAAATAAAGTCCAGAAAGTGAGGTTAGATTGGTTACACACTCAGAAAAAATAATTCCAGTATTGCAAAGATTGGCCTAGAGTGCAATCCCCAAGAAAGAGGAAAAAGAGTCGCCCAGTACAAACTTGGAGAATGGGGTGAAGGCCTTAGGGCAAAATAGAACCCGATTAAGGTTTTAAATAAAGCTCTATGCTCGACTTAGGAGTACAGGAATAATATTAGAATAGTAATTAATTAAACATATTGTTTTAAGGACAAAATAAGATAGACTTAATAGGTTGAAATGTCAATTGGTACTTCAAATTTCTTTCCTAGGTGGCGCTAGGAGCTTAAATCTAAATTAACATAAAGCTTTAAATTATTTTGACTCTTACCTTAAAATTACCGCAACCAATATTACGATGTAATTAATATTATTAGTATAGTTAATTAAACGTGCCCTTTCAACAATAAAATATGTCTTAAATGTCAGATGTAGGTAGTTCAGATTTCTTTCCTAGGTGGCCGATTGTCGTCAGAATCTGCAAATTGCTCTGTTAAATTGGCTCTGTAGTCCGTACAGAGGACGGGAACAAAATATAGAGACGGAAGATGGTCAAAGAAAATATTAAAAACTAAAAGAGTAAAAAAACGAAATAGAGGACAGCCAAGAAATAGAGCCACATTGGTGAATTAGAGAAATAAAAATGATATCGAGAAACAAATCACAAAGGAGAAAGAGAATAAACGTTAAAGCAACAATAAATTACCTATTACCACCCTAGCAGGTAAAAGGAGTTAAAAAAAGAAGAAGAAAAAGAAGAAATAAGAACATTCAGATTTAAAAGCCACATTAACCATACATATATTAGTAATAAGACAAATGTGTACAATAGTTAGTTTCAACAATACTTGTTAAATCCTGAGCTACATCCTTAAATCATTTCCCCAATTTCACACGGAAGAGTACGTAAAATATGTAAAAAGATTAATGAAAAAACGTTTAGATCTTATAGGTGCACTACTACAGTTATCTGAAATCCTCTTGAATGTTTTTAACGGATCGTCTACTCATTTGACAAGTCAAGTACCGTTACATCGTACATGGAACTCTTACTGGAAACGTCGGTGTCTTAGTCGTTTAAATGATAATTCTAATAAAATGAAATAAAATAAGCCTGTTTTGTCTTCTTCTTCTTCTTTCGTTTTATGGCCTCCACCTCTTAGGTAGGTGGCCAGCTCATGTATATATTTATATTTCAATTATAGAAGAAAATTCTCCTCACAGAGATTCTGGAAATAACCATATTGAACCATAACCATCAAGAACTATGATCTCTTGATTATCTTATCATTACTGGAGATTTTAATTTCCCAGAGATCACCTGGACAATAACTTCATTATCTGACGCCGAAAACGCTCATAATTTATTTAAAAGCTTTGTATTAAATTCAAACCTGATACAACTTATTACAGAACCTACTAGATTTAGGAATAATAACCAACCTTCTACTTTAGATCTAGTGCTTATTAATGACGAACAGCTGATTTCATCTCTCGAAGTCAGTTCTCCTGTAGGAAAGTCAGATCATGCAGTTATAACGGCTCACATCCAGTTCAATCAAATATTACCCCGCAAAAATAACATTGTAACATATGCTACTACCGACTTTTCTGAAGTTGACACTGAACTCTCTCAAATCGGCTGGCATTTATTTTTTGCAGACTTAAACGACCCCTCATTAATGTGGACTGCATTTCTCGACAAAGTCCACAACATAATTTCTACAAATACTATTTTCCGTAAGAGTTAGAAAAACAACCTTAATCCCTGGATAAATCGAACAGCAATTAAACAAATTAATCACAAACGACATCTATGGCGAAAATTTAAACACACCGGGCTTCTTATTATTATTAACGAACAGTGGAGCAATTTACAGGAAATAAAGTGCCGCATAGGAAAGGCAAGAACGGTCTTTAACAAAATGAGCGCCATCTTCAAAAGTCACAACATATCCCTGGATACAAAAATGAGACAATTGAGATGCTATGTTTTCTCTGTGTTGTTGTACGGGGCGGAGGCATGGACGCTTACAGACACCACTATTAAAAAACTTGAAGCATTTGGGATGTGGCTTTATAGAAGAATGCTAAAAATATCATGGACAGCAAGGATCACGAACAAAGAAGTTCTAGGAAAAATGAAGAAAGAACCAGCGATTGTGTTTACGATCAAACGCATAACATTGCAATATCTGGGACACGTTATGAGAAATCAGCACCGTTACTCCCTGCTACAGTCTATATTGCAAGGTAAAGTCAAAGGTAAGCGTGGACCCGGTAGAAGGAGAATATCATGGCTGCGGAATTTAAGAACATGGTTTAAGAAAACCTCAACGGAGCTGTTTCGAGCCGTAGCGAGCAAGGTTATGATTGCCAATATGATTTCCAACATCCAAAACGGATAGGAACCAGAAGAAGAAGAAGAAGAAGAAGAAGGGCTTCTTAGTGATTTCCAAAGCCACCGCAGATTTTCAAATAACTTAAAAACATCTCTAAAAACCCTAAGACAAAATTTTGAAGCAAACGGTATTGAAAGTGGTAACATTAAAAAAGTCTATAAATACATACGTTCCTCCATGACTTCTAAAGTTTCCGTTACGCTACTTCAAAAACCCAACCAGACTTTATGCTCTTCTGACAAAGAATCTTCCGAAACTCTCTCTTTAGCATTTTCACAGGTTTTTACTAAAGAATTAAATTATGGTTATCTACCTGCTTGTAATCGTGTCG